AATATCTGAATCGTTTCACACACCCCCCCGCCCCCCCCCGTCGGAATGACTGTTGTTATGAAGAGCAGTGTTCAACTGGGATTCTTGCCTGGTCGTTCACGGTCAAAGCAAATACGTATCAATCAGCAGAAAAGCAGACCAGCGATAAATTGGAGGAATTGTGTAGTAATTGACGATGATAATGATGATGATGATTGGCCCTATCGTTTCACTCACACCACACATTACCTTTTTAAACTGGCGAGTAATGCGAGAATGCATATTCAATTTTTCGGCCCGCAGCATGTAACAGTTTCCATTCACCCGATCTTTGATCCTTGATCTCTGACAGACTTTTCAAACCACAGCGGATGTTCTTCCTACTCATGCTTGTTTTCAGCTAATTATTGTACCCACAAGCTTGACGATCTCTGTCAGCTTTCGACTGCCATCCTACAGAGTTCAAAGTCCGGTTGTTTAAACAATGTACAACTATAGAGACAGACAGATAGACAGGCACTCTGTACAGTTCGCATACACAAACATACGTATTCGACGTGATGTCTACGTGTTTATAATGTTTCGACGTGAACCGGATTTCAGTCTTCGATAAAAAATATCAAATCCGTTAGAGCACGTTTTTCAAACGGAATTCTAAACATTAGTTTAAGGGAAGAAAGCGATTTTCGCAACAGACGTTTCTGAGTAACTGTTCTGTTTGAACGTCCAGTTAGGAATTTCACTGCATGCAGACTGGATGTACATCCACTGGAAGCCCCATTTTAGTGTACTGCTTATAATGGGCACAAACGGGAATTCAATTAATTGATTCGGTAGGTGTCGACCTATTTGCGCAAAATAGTCAGCCTTATGAAGCAATTTTAATCCCGTTCTAATGTCGTATTGCGAACAAAGACACCTATTTCACGCACAAAATAGTTCTTTGTACTCGAATCGAACGGGTCACCTGATAGTGGGTTCCTAAACCACTCGCTGTTTGTATTCAGTCTTCCATTTCAGTGAAACGGATTCTGTTCTGATGGATCAAAGTAAGTGGAGGTGATCAGACATGTTCTTGGTAAACTAAACACCGTAACTGATTATTTTAATCAGATTAGCATCAACGCGTACGTATATCACCAGCCAGTTCGATGAGTGTTCATAATATAAAATTACAGAGAAAGGACGCATAAAGTACGGATAAACCACTATCAGTTTGCTCGATGATGGACAAGGATCATATCGAACTTACTTCTTTGATTATCTCCATCAATTTCGGAATGTCCTCATCATACCGACACTGGATCACAAGACGTCGCATGATTTATCGATATGCACGCAGACTGGTCAAACGTTCGCAACTTCCTAATATCTATTAATGTTAAACCGCTACGCATAGCCACACAGATGTTCATTTGTGCTCTATCGAATGTCTTTTGTGTGTGTGTATGCATGTGCGTGCGTGCGTATTTGTCTGTGTGTGTGTGTGTGCACGTTCGCTTTTGTGTTAATTTATCCGTACCGTTTGTGCCACACTTGTTCCCGTGACCTTGAACGTATACGTTCCTATTGGTTCTCACAGGGAGTCCAATTATAAGGCAATAGTAGGAACGAACACACACGTACACAGAGACTAAAGCGGTGTTGCATCAGCTGGCATCTAAAACAGAACATAGCTTCTGCCCTCAAACCCCGCTGCTGTTGTTTCTGTTAATGTGCGCGAATAGGCGGGGGGGGGGGGCGGGGGCGNGCCGAGTCAGTTGGATAGGTACCATCTAGACCATCTCTAGATGGTCAACCGAACAAACTAGGCACTGTAGCACACAGTGGGCTATCCTCAACGAATTATGTGTGGGTACTCGATGCAATTAGTAGGTGATTTAACTTCTAAGGACTTTTCTATTAAAAGCTACAAATCCGGAAGCATTACGTGAATGAATGCGTCAAAAGTAAAATTGTAATCCGTATGAGTATTAATAATTCGTAATCTCCAAACGTTCTATCAACATAAGTGGATAGCATCACATTTATTTGTGTCCGATGTGGATGTGGGGTACTACCTTATTTCCTTCCCATGGCTGAGGCTCAAACCCGCTGGGCAAATGGAGGAAGAAATTTGACGGAAGTCAGGTCGTCGCACGAGCTTGATCCATACTCGCATATAGTTCTAACTTCCAAGAGAGTCAAATACCATGCGACGGTTGGCAACATCAAAAAGCCATCTTCCTCTGACTTAGTGATATAATTTGAAACAAAATGGAACAATAGCAGTACATCAGTCTGAAAATGCGGCACCGTAAATTCTTCTCACAAGTGTGTCAACGTAAGCTAGAATAAGGATAACTTCATCGCAAAGTATTCGATTGTGAACACTGTTACTACATATGTCATACAAATCAAACCACACCTGAACGACCGATATGTCCTGTATGGGCATTGACGTGCATAACTGACACACAGGTACGAGAAGGAACTTCAAATTGAAGTTGATAGTCACGGTCAACTTCAGAAGCTATGACTAATTGGACGAATTCCGGATCTTTGAGCACTGCTTTCGGAGAGTAACACAAAAATACATTCAATAATGAGTGCCCGGTATGTGCTCACAAGTGGTAAACAGCTAGGTGTTTCAATGCTTCCTCGAAGCATTATCCTCTTTGGGCTTTTAGAGGGAGAGGAAGAGTTCCAGATAGCACAAACACACACACACTGATGCCGAAAGAGTAAAGCTGGTAACCTGGCCAATTTGTTTTAAAATATCAGTTTATGGGGCTGCGCCCCCAGGTCATCACTTATGTTTAGTGTCTACAAAGTGCAACAGTTGAGATCTGGTTGATTCGGTAGTTGCTATGCAGTGATCATACCGCCTGAATTATGCGGTGAGAAGCAATATATAACGTCTCCGCTTTTTGCATCCTTTCAGCGCAGGTCTTGGATCGTATAATTATGATCATTTGGTTGCTTTTGGTTGATAATAGAAATGCAACTATCTTTATCGACGAGCAGTAAGTAGCAGAGCAGCAGTGCTGGGGTGCAAATGATCTAAATCACAGAAAATAAAGAAATCACTTGTCTCAAATGGCCTGTGAGGCTGTACAATACGTAGGTCCTGATTTCCCGAAATCACACGACTTAAAGCAACCAGTGGACCTGAGGTATGAATAATTGACTCAGAAGTAGGTCGAGAAGGATAGAGCAATGTTTGTAGACCGCAGTCACGCGCTGTAACGAAATAGGCAATAAAGTTCCCTGTTAGAGAGAGAGAGTTAGTCGTTCAAGCGCGAAAGTGAACGTCAGACATGGCTAATGGAATCTGTTCTGATTGGTATCTGTGAAGCGTCGTTATCCACAATGTGTTGCTTTAAAGTAAAGGCTGATCAAACCCGCTGCTGAAAGCCTGCCCTATGTCGACCATCATTTCCCCGATGACTTTGATTCGTATAGGTGAACGTGGGGAGATGTGAGCAAAGAATCAGTTTAACTCTAGGTCCCTGGTACAATCCCCAGTCAGGTAGATGATTTCGCACTGGTGATGAGACCCATCTAGGTCGAAACAGCTGTCCAGTGTTTCATAGCTTTACAGTTCACGCTTCATTTGCCAAATACACGACGAATTGGGCTTTGAGATACTAGAAAACAGTATTGCCCACACAATTGACTCACCGTTAGGTTGACTCCCAGAGTCAATGATACAAGTGACTGAAATTTGACATGCGTAATTGGTAAGTTGGTTTAACTTACCACTTACTTTTGTCGCTCAGACCGAGCGGAAAAAATGTTCATTAATTGTACCGGATTGACGTCCAATGATAGATAGCAGATACCGAACCCCCGAATTCGCGTCAGAACATAAGGCTGGGAAATCTAAGTGTACTATTGCATAATCAATCATGAATTAATCGGAATACAACGGCATACCTCAAATTAGGGGCAACCCGGTCTGGACAAAACAATCGGTTCGATACGACAAGAGCAAACGTGCCAGGAAAACGCTCTCCTGGAAATCGGAGGAGGAATGCGATGTGGATATAGAGACAGGGTTATTTAAAGGGTGGTGAGGACCAATCACAGGGCTGGGATAGCGAAGTGACATCAAATTCGGGGAGGGGGGGGACAGACAGCAACCGTAATCACGGTGTAATTGAGTGAATGGACAACGAACACGAGGAGGGTATCTGGGATGGTTAAACACACAAGGCGGGTGGTAGTATGTGCCAAGGAATAACTGAATTGCGAGAAAGAATGAACAGTGACAACAGTAAAGACGGTAGGATAATCATAGTGGGTGGGTGATGAACAAGCGGCTACAATAACACGAGACAGTTTCTATGTCGGGTCGAGATCATTGATACCGATAATGGATTACGATAATAGGACAAAAATTACGACAGTCATTACGAAACAGTTTCCGTGTGGGATGGAGATAATAGATTACAGTAGGAGTTGGACGAAGAAGGGATCACGACGAATAATATCAAACAGTTGCCATGTGGATTGGAGATGATAGATTGCGATAACAGGCTGAACGAAGAATGAGTCACGATAATTAACACTAAAGTTGCTATGTGTGGCGGTTAGGGAAATACGTTAAAGTGCAAACTGAATGGCCCTGGAGGGGTAATGTAGTGAGTTCCGATCCGGTGGACAAAGATCATCAAACTGGGAGTTGGTTAGGGCCGCACATGAATTGTTGGGTTTTTAACAGAGTACAGGTAGGTCTGGAGTATGTAATTTCAATCATACAATAAAGCTTTTTACATTAATCAAGAACTCATTATTATGAAAGTGGTGATAAAATGGAAATGCAAACAGTCCCTGGCACGTTACATATAATATAGCATATATCGTAATATTTACAAACACCTCGCATCCGGTAAAATCTGATAAGTGAGTTTCACTCCTCCAGAGCTTATTGCCTCCTCAAACGTTTCCTCCTCGAGACCAACCTTTTCGAGGACAACAAGAAGCACTGAAAAGCTGTTTGGGATAGATGGAATATTTCTGCTTTCACTCAGACTAGATAAGCGAAATTTTGGAGAGGGGAAGGCCATCAGTTTATTGCTTTGGAACGTACCGATACAATGAAACTAGTAACAAGAGATGATATAACCAAACACCTTGTGTTTACAAATTTACTTCAGTAACAGAGTGATCAACTAGACAGCTACGTGTAGCTGATTAGCTACACGCAGCTTCAGATGAAAATCATTCAAGGATGGGAAAAACAGGTGCACCGTTGGAGATTCATTTCCATCTAGTGTCTTATTCAGTAACCGGAATCGAGATTCGTATTCAAATGGGTAGATCTTGGTAGAATATTTGCTATTACGATACACCTGGTAATAAGTTTGTGGTTAACAGAAAACAATAAGTAGTGCTGTCCAGAGACTGTGTGCACTGTTGAATAACATTAAGTAAGGCAATATTATACGGTAGGAAAAAGAAATGTTGTCCTCTGTTAGTGAACACTGCTATTTGTTTTGAGCCCAAACAAACTTTTAACCCAAATGAGAAATTGCCTTTGACAGTCGATAGTTTTAACCTTTGTAGATGCAAAAATGAACAATCAGACTCCAGACCTTGATCAGGCTGGTAAAATGAAAGTATCCCTTGAAATTTATTCGTGGCTGCGCATTCTAGTCGAATAGAACCTGTCAAAAGTCAGTTCTCCAGGAAATGCTCTCGATATATTTTCTCTAGTCCACTGGACACGAATCACATTTGGTAAGGGAATCACAGGGTTTATATATAACCCTGAACCAATCAGACTGTTTGACGGGCAAAATTAAAGTCTTCCGCGGACCAATCATAAAAATACAATTGATGCAGTAAAACAAACGATCAATTCAATCAAGACTTTCCAACACAGAACCTCACTGGGGCCATTAGTAAAGTACAACTCAACATCCAATAGTATATATACCTATATATGATAATAAGTAGTAAGTGAGTGATCGGACAAAATCCCTCGGAATGCACAAGACCGGCTTCGCAGATCTACCGCATGTCAGACACGCGTGTCCGGCAACCGTTTGTCAGTTTCATAAACTTGTACCCAGAAAGTGTATTTTCGTCGCAATAACCTTGTTTGCAACGCCGGGAGACCATTGGATAAACAGCTCTTTCGGAGCCAGTCCAATGAAGAATCAGCGCTATAATTCGATGTTTTGTAAGTGGGTTAGATGCTACCAACCGCAAAATACGTGACCTGATGGTCGTGGTAGAATATTTGATAATAGGTAGTGTGATCACCCGGTGTTGCAAACCGGGTTATTGGTACGAATATATATATATATATATAAACATAGTGCCAGCGCCACG